ATGGGGGGTTGCTGTGGGTGATTGACGCTGGATCTACTTTGGGGGACATTTATTGTTTGTTTTTTAATACAGCACATATCACAAACTAGTGTTGTTTTTTCTAAGCTTTGACACTTTTTTTGGTGAATGAGTAGGGGTACTATGTACCCCATACTCATTCACATGGGGTGGACTGGATTTGGGGGAACCCCCCATGTTGAGGGCATGTGGCCTGTTATGGTTTGGGGGAGGGGGGGGTATGTAGTTTTTTTCTTAATTTTTCATTACTGGCAATTCTTTTTTTTACATTCAGGTGTGAGTGGGGAAACTACTGAAAGCTGATGAATCATCGGTTGCTGAGGATGAGGCAGCTGGCTTCCCGACCCTCTCCTTAACAACCAGCTATACTTCACACAGAATTCAAATCAGGCGATACATTTTTGACCATTTCAAATTCAGTTTGGAATTCGTTAGAAATTGAATAAACAAAATGAAACTAAATGAATGCGCAAAAAATCTACAAAATGAAATTAGTAACCTAATGAATTTATCCAAAACAAAACAAATTTTTCCATTCTGCACATGTCTAACTATAACCATTTTTTGCACCACCTACCTGCAGCCATTGCCCTACACATACCTCCCAACCAGGGGCGGACTGACCATTTGGAAACTCGGGCACTGCCAGAGGGCCCGGGGTCAGTAGGGGGCCCCATGAAATGCCCCTGGTACCTTTTTCATAGGCTTTTTTGAGTTTGGGCAAGGACACAGGGGCCCCATGATCCCCTATTGCCCAGGGGCCACATGAGTTGTCAGTCCGCCCCTGCTCCCAACTTTCTGGGATGGAAAAGAGGGACACCTATTAGCATGTAAGCAAAGGACACACCCCCATTACATGGAAAATTAATTCACACAAAAAAATCCATTAAACCCACATGTATTTTTTTACTGCTACTATTCCCGTATATTGGCATTTGAAATCAAGATGTCAGGGATACATGCATCCAGCAGCAGGGATGGTCAGATCTGCGTAGCTGAACTAAGGGAACTAATACCATACTATATGTGATTTAAGTACGTTTATTTACAGTGAAACAAAATCCATCCAAACACCAGCAAACACAGCACACATGAAGATATACATGAACCAGAAACTGAGTGACAAAATACCTAGATAAAAACCTAACTATAATACAATATGAGGAACACAGATAAACGGTTAAACTGGAGGTATAATGAAAAGTCAGGAAGGGGGAACCAAGACTGGGATCAGGAACAAGTGGGTGTAGTTACAGGGTATAGGTACAAAGCAAGATTGGGCTAGGGCAGGAATCAGGCTACGGAACAATTTGCAAGCAGTATCTGGCTAGCAGGGCAAAACACTGAAGCAAAAGGTACTAGTAAATAAATAAATACACTCCCAGCAGCCAGAATCAGGTGTAGACTGATTATTAGGATCTGCTAGCTGCTGGGAAACACCCACTGGTGGACACCGGCACTACAACTTTCTGCCCTTGGAACCACCGTGCCAGCAGCAGGTGATCCGGGTCCTGGACAAGAAATGCAATAATTTTGAAATCAGATGAAAGGTTTAGGCCACATTCACACTGGTGAGTAGGGCCAGTGTGAACTGGGGTAGGAGGAATCAGAGATTCCTGCTGTGGCTCTTAGTGGCTAGGTGTGGCTGCCAGCCCATTCACTATAATGACAGGTTGCCAGCGGCCACAGCTATTTGCGCCTCTTTGCACAACCAGCAATTACTGGCAGTGATCACTGCTGGACACACACAAAGTGCATCCAGCAGCGATCACTGTAGGTAAATGGTGGCTGTGTGGACACCTTTGAGTAGCTGCAGCCGTGGCTGACCTGTGACTATAGTGAATAGGGCCAGCGACCACACATAGCCCGCTGAGAGCTACAGCAGGAATTTCTGGATTCTGATTTCGGCCCTAATCGCAGGTGTGAATGTAGCCATAGCATTGTAAAACAAGGTTTGATAGATAAACAGTGCATTTTTATACAGTAAAAAAAAATAAACAGCACTGTCTAAATAATGAGAGGATAAAGTAATAAAATTGTGTTCCCACAATAAAAGCAAGAATTTGTAGTTACTTTATAGCAGCGCAACATCACTTGTTTATTTTTATTTTTTATACAGTATTAGACATCAGATCAAACTGAGGGACGCATGAGAAGGAAAGAAGGACAGAGGGATGTTCATCCAAAAGAAGGACAGTCCCTCCAACTCATGGATAGTTGGGATCTATGTTCTAAGAACTCCATGCAAATATTGGTTGGAATCTACCACAGGTCCCAAAGAGTGTTAATCACCTAGACTCTTTTGCAAGTAAAGTGTACTGCCTGTGTGACAACATGCAATATAATGTTCCTCTGTGTGTGTGTAGCAATATTTATTAAACAGAGGCACACATTCTATAGAACATATCAGCCACTATTTGCTCTGTCATTAAGACTCCTTGAATCAAGGTAGAAACAAAAGATTCAAATCAGAGAGATACATAATCAAGATATATGAAAGTTGTATTATATCTCACCTTTAGTTTTAGGATGAAATGAAATGTCTCATCAGCCTCTGGGAAATCATCATCACACACAGAGATGTAGACAGTACGGTTGGTCTCCCAGTCGGGTATGAAAGCAGCAGTAGCAGTAGCTATAAAATCTCCTGTGTCACTTTCCACCAACTAGAACAACACAATCAATATTATCAAGATGTGAATGGTTTTAAGATTTGGTAATTTGGGGACTAATAATTTCCCATGCTACTTGTACTGTGCCAAATTTGGGGCGTGTGTATAAAATACTGGATTTTAGGTGGTGGTCTTTTATAGGGTTAGTTCAGTTATGAAAAGTAAATGATAGTAAATGTTATGATAGTAAATATTTTTTTAGTGCAGCGTTCCCACACACATATACAATAAATATAATACATCACAACAAATCTATAAACATACAGTACATCTAACTTGCATACATTCATACGACAAAATAAATAGAATCCAATTGATCAATAGGTGAATATATACAGTACATGTACTGTACATATAAACACGGTGTATATCACTGCAACTGCATAGTGTATCCGGGTGAGTTATATCTTGTTTTTTTCATGGTGTTGGATATCTTTTTTATTATCAAAGGAAAACTGGCACAAAAGTAGTACATTTTGTTTTATAAAATTAAGCTGTATATTTCTTGCTAATACCATAATCCAGCACCAAAGAGCAGCCCAAAATAAATTCTCCTGTTTCTAACGATCACAGCGATACCACATATGTGTGTTATTTGCTGTTTGTACCTGTAGTAGGGCCCAGAAAAAATAGTGCATTAGTGAACGTGTATTTTGCTTTTTTTATTTCCTACCTAACACACACTGACACTAATACTAATTTCTGTTTTTAACCCCACCTAAAAAAAATACACCGACCCTGACTTTGGACCCCAACCTTTGATTCCTATGACTCTGATCTAGCTACTTTTTCTTTCTTTATTATTATTTTTTTTTTTTTCAACACATACATCTTTGTTTACTTTTTGCCTCTTCTATAGCAGGGAGAAAAAGATCCAATGTATCTTTTGCTCCATTCAAGAGAAGAAACAAAAAAATGGGTGGGCTATATAGTGACTGATCAATGTGATAGCCTACCACAGTAATCAGATGATCGGGAACCAGATTTCCCAGTTCCCAACAAGGCGGGATCTAGGGGGGCGCTGATGTGGGCTATGCCTTCCAGATTTCATTTGTGCATCCCTCAGGCCAGCTTCCCCTTGTGCATTTTGCCTGACCCTCTGAGCTCCTCTCCCCATCCCTGCACTCAGGGCTGGGACAAGGGGGGCGGACTGGTGCAGATAAGTTCAGACAGGAGATGCGGGCTGTGTTGTGCTCTCTTCCATTCTGTCAATGGAGTAGCCCTTTATACAGCAGATGACACAGGCTTGCTCTTAGTTCAGACCATGTGTGCTTTAATTACCTGCTCCCTATCAAGGACCGCTTATCTCCTGGCACCAGGAAATGTGGGCAGGGGGCGGCAAGCAAACTGTGTACAGTCTGATGTAAGATCAATCCTGTGTCATCTTCTGTATGGAAGAGCACCGTTTTGACAGGAGGGGGGAAAGCACAGCTTTATTCACCCTACAATATATAAACTTCCAAAAGTGCAGTGCAACAGTGTTTTTTTTTTTTTTTCTATTTTGTCCTCCTGTATCTAGGAAAGTGCCTGAACATCACTACTTGAATTATCTTATGTGTATATCTGTGTTGAGTCAACATATTTACCATGTCCGTATCACACTTGACTTTTCATAAATAAAAAAAACAACAACATTCCAAAACAACTTTATATTTGTATTCCAAAAATATACTGTATATATATAAATATAAAGTTGTTTTAGAATGTTTTTAGTTTTTTTATATATGAGAAGTCAAATGTGATATGGATATGGTAAACAGATTGATTTAACACACATATACACACAATACACCCGAATAAAGTAGTGTTATTCATGCACATTGTTTAACCACTAGCCTACAGGGCACTTATACCCCCTTCCTACCCAGGCCAGTTTTCAGCGTTCAGTGCTGTCGCACTTTGAATGACAATTGCGCGGTAATGCAACACTGTACCAATATTACATTTTTATCAATTTTTTTTGTGATAGATAGAGCTTTATTTTGGTGGTATTTAATCACCTCTGGGTTTTTTTATTTTTTGCTAAACAAACCAAAAACAACTGAAATGTTGAAATGTTGTAAAATTTTGTAAATAAGTGATTTTCTCCTTCACTGATGTGCACTAATGAGGCTGCAGTGATGGGCACTGATAGGCTGCACTAATGGGCACTGATAGGTGGCACTGATGGGCACTGATGAGGAGGCACTGGTAGGTGGCACTGATGGGCACTGAAAGGCAGCACTCATACAGTATATGGCACTAATAGGCGGCACTGATAGGTGGCACTGATAGGTGGAACTGACTGGCACTGATAGGCGGCACTGACTGGCACTGATAGGTGGCACTGACTGGCACTGTTAGGCGGCACTGATAGGTGGCACTGATGCTTACTGATAGGTGGCACTGACTGGCACTGATAGGTGGCACTGATAGGTGGCACTGACTGGCATTATTAGGTGGCATTGACTGGCACTGATAGGTGACACTGAAAGGCAGCTCAGATGGGCACTGATATGTGGCATTGATGTGCACTGGTAGGCACTGATATGTGGCATTGATGAGGCACTGATGGGCACTGGCAGGTGGCATTAATGAGCACTGATAGCTGGCATTGATGGGTACTAACAGGTGGCACTGCTGGGGCTACACTGATCATCAGGGTACACTGATCATCAGTACCCTGATGATCAGTGTACATGTCCTCTCTGTGGAATGCCGATTACCGGCTCTCCACTCCTCACGAGCTGTCAACGTGTAAGGAGAGAAATGCAGATAACCAGCATTTCCTTATTTGCATGTGATCAGCTGTGATTGGATACAGATGATCACATGACCGAGCTGACATCTTTGACTCTTTCCGTTGATCGGTGATCCGCTGTGTCCGAGGGACACAGCGCACCACCGATCGCCGCGCTGCATGGTTAGAGTGGGAAGACGTCATATGACGTCCTCCCAGAATGAGAGAACTGCCTTGCGCCCGTCATTACCTTATATGGTGGGTGGGAGGCGGATAAATAAGGATGGAAATTTAAAAAAAATGTACCTTGTTGTGCTATATTTTTGAGGGATTTGTGCTAGCAGGGAGGATTTGGGGGAGAGGATTTGTGCTAGGAGGGGTGGGGGAATTTGGGCTAAAAGAGGGGACTGGGGGTGGGGGGTTGTGCTAGGAGGGAGGATTTAGAGGGAGAGGACTTGTGCTGGAAAGGATCATTTGGATAGGGTTGTGCTAGGAGGAGGGATTAGGTGGGGGATTTGTGCTGGGAGGGGAAAATGAGGGAAGGATTTGAGCTGGAAAGAAGGATTTGTGCTTTCGGCTTGCAGAGGGACTTTATGCTTAGGGCTTGAGCATGCAGATTAGTGCTGTGGGGTTTTTTTTTTGGGAGGGGGGGAGATTTCTGATTGGACATGATGCTTACACATCATCAGCAGTTTATCATCTTCTCCCTGGGAGCTAGATGACCTTGTCCCAGCACTGCTCACACTGCACACAGGGCACTCAACAGATTTCCTCCTCCTTACACATCATTGAGAACAGATTCCCTTACAGAAATAACTTCAGTCTGCACAGTGATTAGCTAGCTGCTATGTTGCAGTTTTGAACTGTGAAATTCCTGGACTGGCATGGCAGCCCAGCTGTAGTAGCCAGCAACCCACTGTACAGATTGATGCTGTGTCTGTGAGGGAATCCAATTTCAGCTATGAACTGTGTGGGGAAGAAGACGTCTGCTGGGTGCTCAGGCTATGTGCATGCAGGGATGGAACGAGGAGCTCTGCTGAGTGCCATGCCAGCAGTGGCCCTGTAACCTTCTCTGCTGATTCCTGTCCAGCCCTACCCTGCCCCTGATTCCTGTCCACTACCCTGCCCCTGTCCGTTGCCTTGCTGACCCCTGTACAGTACCCTGCTGACCCTCTGTCCTCTGCCCTGCTGACCCCCGTCCTCTACCATGATAACCTCTGTCTTCCACCCTGCTGGCCCACTGCACACTGTCCTGCTGCCCTCTGTCGTCTGTCCTACTAATCCCTGAACACTGCCTTGATAACCCACTGTACACTGCCCTACAATCTAATTCCCCCTGTACAGTGCCCTACAAACTGCTGATCCTATCCTCTGCCCTACGGACTCCAATACACTGCCCTGCTGACTTTTCACCCTCTGTTCCCTGATGAAGTCACGAGGGACGTGACGTAATGCAATTGGAGAAGCTGGGTGTCGGGAGTACTGAATCGTGGTGTACACATAGTTTTGTTTTAAAGAAGCTTTGACCTCAGATGTATTTTATGTAAGTGCAATGCTTTAAATAAATTGCCTTATTCTAAATACTACACTATGAGAGGCTGTTCTGTGTTTATCTGACCATTGGCACAACAGAAGAGAAAGGAAGAGTGAGTGTCTATAAGTCCGGGGAGGAAAAGATTGTCCACTTTCCTAAGAAGGAGAGACCATTTACCTCATATTTATCCCTCAAGGGAAAAGTGCATCTAGACCTAATAACTTATGTTCTTGGGTCTAATTACAGAGGTAAGTGCAGTATCATTCAGGTGATGGGGGTCACATTTGCATGAAGGTGACTAATATAGATTCAATTAATCACATATGGCAAGAAGATGCACGTGCTGCACCAAGGAGGATTTGTTTGGACTGTCCCAGATTGATTGAATTGAACTATTTACTGTTACTTATTGATTACTATTTATTGTATTATATAAAACTTGGAGTTGTATTTCCAATATATTAGCACATGTGTTTGTGTTACATGCATTTATTATGATTAGTTTAGACGTGAAGGGAGCACCGCATTTATGTTTTTAATTTTAATCTGTATTAAGTGTGGGAACTTACATTGATGTTAGCTGTACCTGATCAGGAGTTTTTCACCAGTTTTCTAGCACATTTACACTTTAGATATATTAGGTAGCGCAAACATCACATTGCACTATAAATTTGACATTACTCAAGATGGCCACAGCCAGACATGCTTGGTTTTATAGTACGAGGTATGTTCACCCTAAGAATCAGGATCAGATATGGTGCTAAACATTATATTACCAGGATCAGATATGGTGCTAAACATTATATTACCAGGATCAGATATGGTGCTAAACATTATATTACCAGGATCAGATATGGTGCTAAACATTATATTACCAGGATCAGATATGGTGCTAAACATTATATTACCAGGATCAGATATGGTGCTAAACATTATATTACCAGGATCAGATATGGTGCTAAACACTATATTACATGTCTAAAAACTCAGCAAACTAATGAGACACTCATTTTCTTACCTCAACAACTGCAGTGATGTTCACAGGCACTCCTGTCCGTTCTATCATGAAGCGTATCACTGTGGTGGCAGTTTCATTTACAAAAAAGTCAGTTTGACCTGCAAACTGCACTTGTGTTTCTCCACATATGCCAGTAACTAATAATGCAAACAAAATAAGGGTAGGGGAGGAAACAGAGGGCATCCCTGTGAAAAAGAAGCAAGAGTTATTAGGCATACTGAGACAGTGAGGGATTACTTACAATTAATAAATGAATGGCAAACAGTGACATACAGTATGAGTAACTTGAGGCAGAGTGATGCATTGTAAACCAAAGGTAAACCAGTCGTGATAGATGACCCCTCTTCATACAGAGTACTATTTTTGTTTGTTTTTTTTGCATAATTCTCTTTTTACAAGAAAATATGTTTTTTTTTTTTATCCAATAGTTTTTCGCTTAAAGTACATCTGCCATGAGAAAATATGGCGGCTGCTGTGTGAAAATGTTACTTCCCATATGGAAGAAAAATATATTTGAAATATATTTTTAAAATAATCTTCCGGAATATATTGACATATATTTGTAATGCTACAATTTTGGCCATATTCAAAAACATATTTAAATCTATATATTGTATATATATATATATATATATATATATATATATATATATATACATACAGTGTATACTGCATGTTGAAATACGTTTTTATTACAAAATATATGAAAAATATTTTTAAAAATACATTTCAAATATACTGCATGCCTTTAAAAATACAAATCTACATTTTTGGAATGCATTTACAAATATATGTAAAAATATATGTTAAAATTACTTTTTTATATGTTAAAAAAAATCTGAAGAATGTATTTAACTACATGCCGCCCAGCCACTGTACATATATGGAGGCAGGGCGGCACTCGCAGGCAAAACCACGTTTTAAAACGTGTGTTTTGTAAACAAATAGGGGGCGTGCGCGAGGCGCGCCGCCGCCCTATCTGTCCTGCGGATCACCGCCGTAGATGTCAGTCGCCGGTCACAGCCGCTCCTTAGCGGCTGTTTCCTGGAGATCGGCGGCAAACAGTGACAAAGAGCACAGCTGCAGTAGCTGTGCTGTCTGTCACTTCCCTGTCAGCTCGAGGATGAGCTGATCGAGAAAGAACAGTTTCTCTTTCTCGATCAGCCTTGTCCCGTCCAGTACATACCCCCGCCCCCTAGTAAAACACTCCCCTCACTCCTATAACCCTTCCCTGCTAAAAAAAAGTTAACCCCTTCCTCCCCATTGCCATTAGTACAGTGTCAGTTTGTTTTTTTTGCACTGATCACTGTATAAGTGTTTTTGGGGATGTCAGTGACCCCAAGTCAGTACCCCCCAATGTCAGAATGTCCGCCGCAGTCCCGCAGTCCCGCCATAAGTCGCTGGTCGCTGCCATACATCCCTGATCGCCGCCATAATTCGCTGATCGCCGCCATTATTAGTATAAAAAAAAACTAAAAATCCCAGTATCTTTCCTGCCATTTAAATGTAAATGCTATAACTTTCACGTAAACCAATTAATTTACACGTATTTGGGTTTTTTTTTTAGCAAAGACATGTCGCAGAATGCATTTTGGCAGAAATTTATGACTAAATTTGATTTTTGCATTTTTTTTTTTACTGGACATGTTTTATAGCAAAAAGTCCAAAATATTGTTTTTTTTTTTCTCAAAATTGTCAGACTTTTTTTTTTATAGCGCAAAAAATAAAAACCGCACAGGCGATCAAATACCACTGAAAGAAAGCTCAATTTGTGGGGAAAAAAGGATGTAAATTTCATTTATGTAGCATATTGCATGACCGCACAATTGTCCGTTAAACTAGCGCAGCGCTGTATAGCAGAAAAATGGCGTAAATTTCAGTATTTATACCATAGTTTGTAGACGCTATAACTTCCACACAAAGCAATCAATATACACTTATTGGGATTTTTTTTACCAAAAACATGTAGCAGAATACATTTTGGCCTAAATTTATAACCAACTTTGAGTTTACTATATATTTTTTTATAGCTGAAAGTAAAAAATATTGTTTTTCTTCAAAATTTTTGGCTTTTTTTTGTTTATAGCGTGAAAAAAAAAAAAGCGCACAGGTGATCAAATTACACCGAAAGAAAGCTCTATTTGTGTGAAAAAAAGGACGTAAATTTTGTTTGGGTTCAGCATTGTATGACCGCGCAATTATCAGTTGAATTAGTGCAGCGCCGAGTAGCAAAAAGAGGCCTGGTCATTAAGGGGGGTAAATCCTCTGGAGCTCAAGTGGTTAAAAAATATATTTTTAAAAATATACCTTTTTTAATGTGGTTTGCCTGGCTGTCATGCTGCCCCTCTGGCTTCAATATATTGAGACAGTGCCAAAAGCAAGTATACTGATATACTGATTTGTATACTGGCCTAGAGTAGTTGTTCTATGGTGCTTTGGAAATCCTTTATCATACATAAAAAGTTTGTATATATATACTAAAAATAGACATACAACCATAGTTTAAAATTACAAGCCCCAAAAATGGCAATAAAAATAT